AAAAAAAAAAGTTGATAACCACATTATTGCGAACTAATCAATAGAAAAACTTGATATCTATGATGTTCGGCCTGGTTTTAGCCTGCAGAATCTCATAATAAGATTGTGTTTATTTCAGGTGTTATATAATTAGGTTCAGCAAGGGACTGGAGGCCATACTGTTTAATGTGAAATATCCGAGGGGAACAGTAAGAATGAATACTTGTTTACGCAATAGTATTGAAAAATCGCGTCAACAAATAGAAATAGAAATGAAAATGATACCATAGGGTTGTCGAAACACACAAAAGATATTTCCACTCACCTGGGTTTTCTTATAACCTGTGTGTATATACGGGTCCCCTGGAAAACGGTTCTCCACAACCACCAACGTATCAGCATCGACTTAAGGCACTCAAGGTCCCTTTTTAACGGCACAAGACATAGACTTTTCGAGCTTAAAACACGGAACCGGAAAAAATTGTCTATTATTTATTATTTATCTAGTGTGTGAATCCAAATCTTCAACGGCTGTCTCGGTCGGCGCAGGGTCGTAGTAAATACACTCCTGTGTATTTTACGCGAAATTGACATTTAAGTAATTCTTTAATAAGAATGAGAAGAAACCAAATTTATAAATAACTAGCGGACCCGGGGGCATTTTTGTATCGAGCGCCCAGTATACCGCATTCGGGTAACGTCGTATTAACCGAGGCCTGTCTCATAACGAGCGTCTGATTTCCCGATCGATTGTCAAGCTACCGTACGCTTGATACTAGTCTTCTGCGAAATTATGGATCGGCGTCCAACAATTCAGTTTTTTTTTTTTTTTTAATTGTTTATCATTTATTATGCACTGGCCAGAAAATTATATGTACCACATTGTCGATTCCAGCGAAATACGAACTAATTTCAAGACTGAGCAGGAAGTCGAGGTAAGGGAATAAGTAAGAGCAAAATTATGTTTTATCTACATAACCTTACCATGAATAGAATACCATGGCGAGATAGAATAGGCCACTTTCACGTTTTTTCGAAAACATTTTTGAATTATTGTGTTAGCCGTTCTTCCAATGACATTATCATCTGTATACTTTTTTTCTCCAAAAAAAAAACGCCTATTTTTTGAAATATGTTCGAACGATTTAAAAATCGAATTTTTAAAGCAGGTAAAAATTAACAAGATTTTTGCTATTTACTTAGGGATTTGTATACCTGCAATCGTTATTTGACAAATGCGGAGATTAGATTCAGGCAGATGTAAATAATTATTTATGATGCTGTCTCTAAGTAACAAAACTAACCAAAACTAACCCAAATTGGAGCTGAGCAAAAGGTTAAGGTAAGGACAGCCTTAGGGTTAGTTTGGGATAGTTTGTTAGAGACAGCATCAAATAACTAGGCAAATAGCAAAATCTTATTAATCTTTAAGTTTTTTTGCTACTTTCCATTCCACTTAGTGAACTACTAGAATTAAAATTGCTTTACGATTTGACTACCAGAACCAAAATTAAACTAATACATATTATCAAGTAGCTTGATGGTGAGGAGCCAGGAAAACTCAAAAAGATATTCGAGACTGTAGGCGCGAAGTCGCGAGTATCGAGCATACGGTAGTCCGAGTGATTTTCGTACTACCGTGCGCTTGATACGTGCCGAGGTCGGGTACCCCGAATGCGGGTTGCTGGACGCTCGATACAAAAATGCGACCCGGGGAACTTCGTAACGCCTCAGAATCAATAAATGTTAAGTTAACGCATTAGCTTAATTAAATTCAGTTTTTTAATAAGATAAAATGATTACTAACAATAAATTATGTGGTTCAATAAATGTTCAAAAATCAAAATGGAACAAACCGCGCAATCTGACGCGGCAAACTTGGTATCGGTTATAAGACATGGCGCTGTATGCATATTTAGTGAATTTTCTTCATAAATATGTTTTTCTTTTTCTTGTGTTTTTTTTTATATGTTCCAATGTTCCAATAGTTGTTATGTAATTCGGGCCAGACAAATCCAATATAACAAAAATCATAAAAATCGGCCTAGCAGTTCTCGAGTTATAGATTCTGCAACCAACCCGACAGATAGATAGATAATACAGTTACGTCAGTTGAATGCGAAAATTTGAATTTTTAAATTTTTTAATAAAAAAATAATACAGTTACGTCGGTTGAATGCGCAAACTTAAATAAATGTGGCAACGTTGTTTCATATTGTCAAAAAAATTTGGGTCATGTATGTGAATAAGTTTGTTTATAATTAATTAAAAATTAATTTTGTTTTCCGAGAAAAAATGTAGCCTATACTTACACTCCCTTTATATAGTGACTAAGTGGTATAAATTCCAAGGAGATCGGTCCAGTCGTTCTTGTGTTCTAAAAAATAATACAGTTACGTCGCGTCGGTTGAATGCTCAAGCTCAAATAAATGTGGCAACGTTGTTTCATGTTCTCAACAAAAAAAGTTGGGTCATGTATGTGAATGAGTTTGTTTATAATTATTAATCAATTAAAAATATTTTTTTCCGGGATAAAAAGTAGCCTATGTCCCTTCAGATAGAGACTATACGTGGTTTAAATATCAAGGAGATCGGTCCAGCTGTTCTCGAGTTATAAGTGCTTCCATAAAACACAACTGTGTTTTATATATATAGATGTTGCGTTAACAATACTCATGCTGACAAAATAAGTGGCCGCGGCTGATTTGATGATTTTCGAAACGAGGGAGCATCCTATGAGAAGGCAGAAAATGTATTCTTATGAGAACGCTGCTCCCTTGTTTCGAAAATCAGGCGCCTGCTAGCTGTGTCCTAGTGCATGAATAAATTGTTAGTTCAGTTACGTGTGTGATTTTCCACTGATTGACACTGGTCTCCTACTTTTGTCAGCTTACCCGTCCACACTGAGCCGACAATTTGTCGTAAAATACACAGACAAAACAGAGACTCTTTGATCTTGTCGACTTACAAAAGTCTCGGAATTTGGAAACAAAAAAAAGACAAAAATGTTGCAGAAATGTATGGGATTTGTCGCGAGACATAAATGTCTTTGTGTTGTCGTTGTTTTGTCTGCTTGGTCTTGCCTGGCATACCGGAGCCAGATTTTTCAATTTCGATCTAGAAAAATAAATAAAGGCAAAAAACGGGTTTTAGCGAACTCTGCGCGCGTTTCATCTCTTTCGCACAGAGGCAGTTTTGCCAACTAATTTTTTTTCAGTTATGGTACAGAGTAGATAAATGCCAATGACCATAAATCATTGGTTTGGAATGATGATGATACACACTTGATTGATTGCGTGTAGCTCTTTTTCCTTTAAATTTTTTCTAAACACAGATTTTATCTTACACATACAGAGCTGGTCAACCACTGGAGCATAGCCCTCTATGTCTGCTATATAAAAAAAAATCTGCATTGTGGTGACAGTCGATGAATAGTCCCATCATATGTTGGAATCCTCCTTATCAAAGCTTCCTAGTCTTGCACCGATAACCTAAATTCATTCCCATTGCTTCCCAAATTAGTTTGGTATGAAAGATGACAGCAAGAAATTTGACTCATGAAATATACGGTAATTGCTTTACAGATCATGGAAGTTTATTGAGAAAAGAATGAGCCGATAAGAAACCGTACAAGAGTAGGCGAAGGATGAAGGATGTAAGAGGGAGTGGAGACAAGTGAAGTGTCACGAGACTTAACGTAAGACAAAAGGTAGAATTAACACACGATACATGGAAAAATACGAAGATAGCGAATAAAATGGGCTGATGATCCTAAAAAACATGATGGTCCGCTATGGATGGAACGAATAATGCAGTGGTGACATCAAATCTACTCAGTAGAGTTTACAGTAGATGATAATTAATTACAAATCATGCATATTGTGCATAAAATTATAGATAATGATTTATAAGGAGAAACTTGATATGTAACATTTAGTTTAAATTTTTAACGCCACCCGTACTACTACTACAGTAGCAACCTTATCCGCTTTGCACCTGCCTGGTCAATATTAATGACAATGAAAATCATCAATTTTTCAGCTTTTGATCATTTTCATTGCTCTGCAGAGCAAGTCGGAAGGTAATAAGTTAATCCAAATTCAATGGGTTTCATAAGTCAATTTATTCACCATGTAAAGCCCATTTTTTTGTAATATTTAGATGCAATAAAGCCTATTGAAATTTTATAAAAGTATTCTCACTTGAGTCTCCTCTTAAAAAACAAGAGTTGAATCATCAAAAATACAAATACCACTATTAAACATCCGGACCGAATTTAACGAACCATATTATGTAATTATGTTATATAGTTTTCTCGTAGCAAAAAGATCTAAACTAATAGGTAGGTACTACTTAATGATGTTCAGAATCTGCAAAATCAACTATATGATGTCATTCATAACTTAGACCAAGTATAGTAGAGGAACAAAAGTACTTATTATACCTACTCACATAGGTATATTATGTTTTGGTGGAAAATTGGTAAAAACATTTCAATAAATTATGTGATGAAATCTAATTTTCTTCGAATAATAATTATGGAGTTATTATTATAAGGGAAATCGGGCAAAAATAGTTGAGTATTTAACGCGAACTAATGAAATCTGGATTTAAAAGTGTGGTAAAATTTTGTTTAGGAAGTTTTCATCAGACAAACTCTTTCTCATTTTCCTTACCTAGTTATTTTTAATCTCAATACTGCTTGGAAGAAAAAATCTTCAAACAAAAGTTGAGATTTTTATTTATTATCTTCTACCTTCAATAATTACCCATTACTTTTATGTTAAACAATAAGTTTGTAGGTACCAAACTTGCCCCTAAAATAGCTCTTAGAGCCGTATTCGCTCACTCTCAACTCATATTTGTGCAATTTACAAAAAAAAATCCTACATCCTTTCGAACCAAATCACTTTTCTATTATTAACACTCTGACTAAATAAAACACCGTGGGCAGTGCAGCTGAACCAAGGAAACCACGGTACCACGATGGTCCAATCTTTGGTCTTGGTAGTAGTGCATTAGTCGACGTTAAGGTAAAAAGTTCAGTCGGTCAATAATAGCGCTGCAGGAGAAACAAAATAATCCGCGATTTCGATTTGTTTTTTTTCCAATGTTACAATAATATAACGTTTATGGAATGACAATGTGGAAATTAGCTTGTGCGGTAATATGGGTTGTTTTGGTTGATTGTTGTTTAGGACAAGAAGGGTAAGTAACCGTTTTATTAAATTTCGAAGTATGGCAGTGATTTTTTTCGCCTTATCAAGAATTAATGTATGCCTTATTGGCATAATGTTGCAGTAGGTTTGCAGGTAGTTTGTTCACTATTCAAGGTCTTGAGAATACCAGAAGGTTTTGCTACCTACCTACACAGTTTACCATTTTTGGAGTTGCGAACGCAAAAGTTTTTGGTTGGAATGTTATACGTAATAGATAATATTTCTAGCAAATAACGATAATGGGTCATTCTGAATTCTGATGGTGATTTTATTGTTCATCTGATCTTATGCTTTATATGTCGCTATTACTATTATTTTTTTTTTAAGTCCGAGCTGAGGTAATTTCATTAAGAACTCATGAAATTTCATTAAGACCTCAAACCGACGAATTCAGAATTATTTGAGTTTCTTTAGGAGGGAATGTGTTCATTTTTAAAATTTCAAACAATTTCTTCAGCAATTTTTAATCTAAAAGCAAACTTCAATGGCACAACATAATCTAAGGGCACAACTATCATGGTTCAATCTGGGCAAACTCAAAGTCCCTACCTATTTCAATTTTAGAGTAGCGAGAATAAAAAATTGCAATTTGTAAAAATACATATGTATTGCACCCTAATATATGTATAAGAAGTACCTACTTAATAGTAACCCATGTAAAAAGCAAGATTCTTTTATCTTTCTCCTACTACATAATTATGTTCCTATAATTATAAGAACTAATTAATTAAATCTCAGACATTAGATACGCATCATTATAATTATAAAATTCCGTTGAAGTAAAAGTAGGTATACCTTACCTACCGGACTTTTTTCAAGTTCCCATCATTGTCTTGTTTGGTTGGATTACTTTCACTTGTGAAGTAATGGGTCTCAAACAACGTTAATTAAATATTACGCTGAGTAAAATATTGTTTTCATTTATTATTTTTTCAGATAGAGATCGTACCAATTTGGAATTTTTTAAATAAGTATTTTGCCTCTTTGTCGAATACCTTATTCTTGATTCTTAAAATATAAATAGGTAGGTATTTATTATACTGCTCATACCGAATGAAGTACTACTCCAAATATTAGTCTTCTGCTGCTTAAGAGAACACACTTCATTGGTTCTGCAGAGCACATTTCATTGGTTCTGAGATTTTCAATGTGTGATGGTTTAAAATCTAGTTGTAGTTATATGGTTTTTAAAGAATTCGCGTTTGAATGGTCTGCGGTTCTTGATCAAACTCCTGTTGTTCTCCAATACCTGGTTCTTGGTTTAGCTTAGAGGAAGATAGATGAGCATGCAATTTTATTTTTTTTGAATTAATTCGAACTCTCTCCGTTTGAGTATTGGTCTTAATAATCATTACAGTTCGCGAAACTTTGGTCAGTGTTGGAAAATGTAATAATACTGAGTTTATTCAGGAAATTCTCACATGATATAAAACTCCTGCTATTTTACTTTACGGCCTCATTGCACCTCCTAGCAGTAATTCTTGGGCGTTTGACCTAACTTTTCTCTTTGAAGCTGATGCTTTCTATTCGTATATCTTCCTTCTCGAGCATCTTTAAAATGAAATATTTCTAATTTCGCGATTACCAAGAAAACTTTCTGATAAAACTGGAAAGGTATGACCAGAGATTGTATGACAGATACGACGAATTTCCACTTTATTAATTCTTGCTCGCTATATTTCAATGACAATCTTGACATCTGGTATAGAAATTTTAACACGAGAAGTAAATAGTGAAATAGTCTAATTATTCTCATACTAGCAACAGTTGGCATTGCATACCATTTAAAATACAGCCCATAACAGTATCAGTATAGAATATCAATAAATCTATAAAGTAACAGGTAACAACTATTTACCGTTCTTGATACCAACGATACCTTGTATAGGAATGTTACAAAATATTTATGTCTTTGAAATCTTTAGATCGGTTTTGTGCGCTTTGCGTTCAAAAGGACACATATCATTTTAATAAACCATCAGGTAGATAGATCCATGTCAACGCCTTCTGTTTAGTGATTTCTGTATTTTCATTAATTTGGACTGTTTGTGTTGTGTAATTTACACAGTTACACACATCAATTTTTATGAATGATTTTTCTCTAGATTAGATTAGATTAGCTAGTTGGGTGTATCCCGGTTGTCGACCTTACAGCACCGCAATCTATTGTTTAGTACTTTCCTTAAACGTAAAGATTCCTCCAATTTTGTGATAATGGAAAAATCTAGGTATGAACAAAGAAAGATTGATATTCTTCAAATCGCTGGACAAACTATACTTTCCAGCAATACTTACTTGGTGGATTTTTGTATTATTCACATGCGAATATTACGCTCGTAGAAAAAAAATATTTACTTATTTAACTCGACCTAGTTTTGCTCCATTTCTACTCAAGTGATGAGGTTTAAGTAAGGCATGCAATTAAATATACAATCTCCATAACTTCTGGTGTAGTCTCCGAAATTAGTTTCAGTTGACTTTCCATTTTGCTTCTCCCTTTTGTACGCAAAAACAGAACACAAAAGATCAATTATTTTTTTCTACTTATGACAAATTTGTAAGAAGTTCCAGTCGAAAAAAATAAATGGTCTAAATGGAATTTCTAAATAATATTGAATAGACAATATAAGGTAAACAAATTATTCATTGCTTGTTGTCATTGAATAAATATCGCAAACAAACATTAAGACCCCTAGGCTATTGACAATTCTCATTGTAAAACTTGATATCCTTTTTGCGCAACCATTTATGGGATGATCGGGTTAGTTTAGTACAATCACGGTTCTTTTGGATGTGTCACTGATTCTGCACAGGACAAATTTATCAACTTGGTTGTTTCGAGATGTCACTCACTTAGGCACCAAAATCCTGAGTTATCCAAACTTTTGGCTTCTCGACGAAATGTAGTAATTTGCATCAGCTGAGTCATTTTAATTTACAAAATATATCTATTTTTAGTTATTTATTCATTATTAATCTCTATTTATCATAGGTATGCAAATAAGTGGTACTTACCTAACTGGAATAACAAATATTTAAATTATTTTGATATATTTGTTCTTTGTTTAGCGACAGAACATTTTTGAGACATTTGGGTTATTTTTAGTACTTAAAACATTCTACAGGTGACAACATTAGTTTTAAAATTCAAATTATTACTCACGTCACTCCAACTTCACTAGAAACCTCTCTTGGAAATTTGCTTCGGAGTCGTCAATCACATCTCCCAAGAGTAGTAATGTAACAAATCAGCCTTCATTGGCCATTTCCATAATTATATGAACTTCGTTATAGAAGAACTATAGTCGCACCTGCAATTTTGCCAATATAAACATGCAACTTATTGGCCAATATTTTTACAGAACAATCACATCGATTTTTGAATGTGTTGATACTGGAAGCTGACAATGTATTCTCACTCACTGGTACACAATTTGAGGAAATTTTTCCTTGGTATCTGGAAATGACATCTTAATATGTCAGACGGTTTTCCTCTTGGTTTACCAAAGAATTGATCGATATCATTCTCAAAAAGGTAAAAGTACGTCGACATTCTGCAAGCTCACAAATAACTTTTTACTTCTTATTACCTTGAAGAAATTAAATGAGAGAAGTTTCCTTTTATTCCTCATATGGATTAAATGAATCATCATCACCCAGCCATTTCCATCCGCTTTCGGAAATAGGCCTCCTCTAGATATTTCCACTTCTTTCTGTTTTGACCCAACCTAATTTGTAGTCTTTTCAGATCATCCGTCCATCTCGTGGGAGGTCTTCCTCGGTTTCGCTTGTCTGATCTCGTACTCCACTCTAAAACTTTTTTGTCCATCTACCATCCTTCTGCCTTGCGACATGATCAGCCCATCTCCATTTAGAGTTCCTCTTTTGGATCTCATATTACCCAGTGAAAGGTCTCTGCTCCATAGGCGAGAACTGGCAAGACGCACGTATTAAACGTTTTCCTTTTCAAGGATATGGGTATGTCATGATCTTTGAATATATGTCTGAGCCGACCATGTGCCGCCCAGCCGAAAGTAATACGCCTTAAAAGTTCGCACGTCGGATTGTGTCTGTCAATTCTAATCCCAATAACAGTATTTCTTCACAAATTCTATATCTGCTCCGTAAATTTCTATATTTTCACTGGGGACTAGGTTTGTCATTAATTGATGTTTAGACCCACCATCTGAATTGCCCTTTGAAGTTCTTGTACTATTTCTTTTCCTTGTTGTAGGTCGTCTGCTATATCATCCGCAAAACAAAGATTATTTAGTTTTGCTCCATGCTCCATCTACAGTTATCCCTTTGTTGTCCCATTCTAGTATTTTAAAAGCATGTTCTAAAACGGTTGTAAACAATTTTGGTGATATAGTATCGCCCTGTCTTACTCCTCGTTTGATAGGTATCTATTTTTTGTGTGGTGGTTGCATTTTTGTAGATATTGTAAATAATGTTGGTATATCGATAGTCTATTATTCTTCCAAGGCCTTTAAGATTGCTGAAGAAATTTACAAATATCAATACAATTTACCGTTGTTAGCTGTTTTCTCAACACTTTCAGGCTTTTGTTTTGTTCTATTGTTTACAGTAGCGTAACTTGACATCAGGGGGCCTCGGTGCAAGAATAGATCAGCCCGCCCGCCATTGACCGGGGTTTTCTGTGGGTGCCACGCCCAAAAACGGTAATTTTAAGCCTTCAAAAATAGTATATTGTGTATTTAGGTGGAAAAGTAACACATTCTCGGCCAACGATGTAAGTTGACGGGTGAGGCGCCGCCGCTGCCGGCAAACACCGAAGGCCGAGAATGTGCTTTTCCTCTGAAATACACATACTCACGATTTTTTCTGCGATCGCTCCAGTAATGGAAAAAATGAGGAATGCTTCTGTGTTGTTCGTAAAAATCAGCACGATTTTCCAACCTAGGCCGGAAAAGTGATTCCCGTACTGTTATCCATATTGATTCCTTAGCAATCACTTTCCTGGCCTAG